CAATCCCCGGCCAGGGAGCTACCCACATGACTCAGCAGACCTCTCCTGACTCACCCGCTGCTCCCCTCAGCAGTGTGTTTCAGTCAGTCTGCCTGTTCTGTTCCCCACTCTGTCTCTGGGGAATCCTCTCACCCCCCACACTCTGGCCTGTGCCCCAGTTCTTGTATGCATAAATAAATAAATCTTTAAAAAAAAAATAGAAATAGGCCCCAGATGGAGTCCTTCATTGGGGGTGAGGGAGGAGGGGAAGGGGCTAGGAGGGAAGAGGGCAGGAAGGCAGAGGGGAAGGGGAAAGAGCACAGTCCTCACCCAAACTTAATACCTATTGCCTTTCAACCTCTCCCAAAAGTGTCATCCAGCACCAATCAATCCGGCTTACTTCTGTTAAAAAAGAGACAACAGGCCCCAAACAATCACTTGTGCTAAGCTTTTAGCCTGGTGGTGTGGAATTACCACCAGGCTAAAAATGAATGAGTCCAGTTTGAATGGTTTGCCCTTCTGAAAGCAGAAGTTTGTTTACTCTTAGCCACCCCGCAGCCCCTTGGCACAAAGGGCCCTTTGGCAGTTGAGTTTATTTCTTGGGAATCAAAACCCAGGCAGGCCACTCCTCTCCACTCCTACCAACGGTGGCCTCTGGGGAGGAGAGGCTGCTAGGAAGTGACAAAGGTGGAGACTCTAAAATGCCCTGGGGATTATTTATGCAACCCACCTCCCTGAGGTTCAGGAATTTTCAAGTTATGCAAACTATGCAAACCAGGCTGGCAAGTCCCCCCCACCCCTTCCAAGCATCCCAATCACATCTCCGTCTGAGAGATGCATCCCCCACCCAACCCTCCCTTCGCCACTCCTGTCAACCTTCTGATTTATAGCAAATAATTTTTCATGCTGCCTTTACTATGTTGAAATGACATCCTTGGATAATGAAATCTACCTCCACAGGTTATTCTTAAAATGTTTATGAAATATCCTAACTAGAATGCCAAGGTGAAAGAAAAGGAGAAAAAATACAGAATTTCGAATTTTCAAAATCCCTGGAGAATTGGTTATAAGTGCAGATTTCATGATTTAAAAATCTCCCCAGGATGGGGGCTTCCCTGGGGTTAAAGACAGCACTATGAAGCTATCGCCAGCCACTGCAGCACCACCCATTAGATCCCCTGCCTGGCCAGGGAGCAACTCACATGGCTCAGCATGTAACAGGGTGGTCCCCAGGAAAGGGGGAGGTTCCCTGCCCCACCCAAGGGAGGGTGGAGCTGAGCAGGAAGAGGAGAAGCTGCAGAAGAGACTGAGGAAGGAAGCAGGATGGAGCCAGAAGGAGACCTGGAGGAGGCGCATGGAGCCTAGAGACACGTGAAGAAACTGCGCTTGTCTTTTGGTCGTGGACTGGGTGACACAGATGTGGGTGAGACCCGTGGGGAGGTGACCATGGCAGCTTTTATCTTGATGTTGATTTTGCTCTTTTCCTTCTGGGCTTGTCTGGTTGTTTCTGACCCTTTGCTGTGGGTCCCCACTGGAAGATGCTTTAGACTTGTGGCTGGCTTTGGGGCCTTGTTCTGGGCCGATCCCATATGGATGGACTTTTACCCACGAGGGGACGGGTAACTTTGGGTGCTTCATTTAGAAACTAGACTCTTTGCCTTACCTGTGTTGTTTCCTAGTTTAATTAAAGTTCCTTCCCATTAAAGTCTCCTATGTTTTGTGTTGATGCGGCGGATGGCAGAACCCATTTAGAATAGGCAGGTTTGCAGGGTTTGGGCTGACCCTCTCCCTGTCCTATAACAAGCAGACCTCTCTTATATGGCCCACTGCTCCCCTCAGCTGTGTATTTCAGTCAGTCCTCCTGTTCTGCTCCCCACTCTGTCTCTGGTGAGTCCTCTCACCCCCTGCACCTCTGGCCTATACCCCAGCTCTTGTATGCATAATTTTTTTTTTTTTTAAAAATTGGGGATTTCACTTCCTTACAGGCATGTGGAACGTTCTAATAACATTTTTCTTTATACAACAGCACCTCCAGTCTGGCTCAAGGGTTTCAACTACCCTCCAGCCTGTCAGACCTGGGAGAGGGGATTCCAGAATGCACTTTCAGTTCTTAGATGTATGTAACTGCAAGAACAAACAAAGATGTCCTCCCAGGAGGAGAACATGCAAGCCACTGATCAGGTATAAGGAGGCCAAAGTGGCTCAATGTCTACCTTTAATCCTGCTTGAAGTTTTTAAGTCTTTTTAAAACACTCTTGGAAATGGATACAGTTTTCCTATTCCCACAGCTTGCACATTAGCAAATAATGGATTAGGGTTTTTTTTTTTAATTTGTTTTTAAGATTTATTTATTTGTTTGTTTGTTTGTTTGTTTATTTATTTATTTATAATTACAAGAACTGGGGTGTAGGCCAGAGGTGCAGAGGGTGAGAGGATTCACCAGAGACAGAGCGGGGAGCAGAACAGGCAGACTGACTGAAATACACTGCTGAGGGAAGCAGCAGGCAAGACAGGAGAGGTCTGCTGCGCCATGTGGGTAGCTCCTGGGCTGGGGATCAAACTCATGCCTAGTGGCTGCTGACAGCATCGTAGTGCTGAGACTTAACCCCTTCTGCCACCAGAGAGACCCCAAAATAATGGATTGTTATGGACAGAAAGGTTGAAGTTCTCAGTCTTGCTTCAGATTTCTGGGTGGGGGGTGGGGGAGGCATGTGGGTAGGAGTTCGAGATGAAACTGAATTGTCTAGGAGTTTGCAGCCTCCTTCACTTCTGGAAATATTTGAAAACCTCATTAGTCAGAAGTTTGTGTGCATTGAAAAGACATTAGGGGGCCTCCCCAGTGGCGCAGCGGTTGAGCGCTGGGTTGCGAAGCTGCCCGCAGCCTCTGTGGCGCCGGTTCGATCCCCGGCTGCTCCCCGCCCACTGGAGGAGGGTCCCACATGGCACGCAGACCTCTCCTGCTGCCCGCTGCTCCCCTCAGCAGTGTACTTCGTCATTCTGCCTGCTCTGCTCCCTGCTCTGGCTCTGGTGAATTCTCTCACCCTTCCACGCTTCTGACTGTACCCAGTGCATGTATAAAACAAACAAACAAACAAATAAATAAAAACATGCCTCTAAAAAAAAAAAAAAAGAAAGAAAAGACATTAGGCCTATATAATAATCAATCTATTTCCTAGAATGTATCTCCCAGAATTAAGGTTCTCCCTCTGCTGTCCAGCCACCCAATTTGCTTAAGCAGACTTGTCTATTTTCCCAGAACATTGCTCGCCTTCTAGGGAAACACTAAAGCTCAATAGTTATGTTTTCTGTGACCTATGTGCACTAGGCTGGTTTAATGCTTTTAATTATTTCCCTTAATTATTTGTTAATTTGTATTATTCATTGGATATATTAATTTAACTTTAATTCTTTCCCCAACACTATATAACTTGCTTATTATGGCTTCTGTTCAGCATTCCTCTCTCTCCAGAAGGTAAGTTTCAGGTGGGCAAGAATCCATGTCTGGCTTTATTTGCTGATATTTAAAAGTACATATGGGGCCTCCATGGTGGCGCAGTGGTTGAGCGCTGGGTTGCGAAGCTGCCCTCAGCTCTGCAGCGCCGGTTCAATCCCTGGCCACCAGGCGAGGGTCCCACATGGCATGACAGACCTCTCCTGTTGCCCACTGCTCCCCTCAGCAGGGTCTTCACTCCATCTGCCTGTTCTGCTCCCCACTCTGGCTCTGGTGAATTCTCTCTCACCCTCCCGCGCTTCTGACTGTACCCAGTGCTGGTATAAATTAAAAAAAAAAAAAAAAATCTTAAAAAAAATAAATAAAAGTACATATGATGCTCCTGTCTTTTTAAAAAAAAAAAAAAATGATTTATTTATTTATGCAAGAACCGGGGTACAAGCCAGATGCTTGGAGGGTGAGAGGATTCACCAGAGCCAGAGCAGGGAACAGAACAGGCAAACTGATGAAATACACTGCTGAGGGGAGCAGCGGGCGAGACAGGAGAGGTCTGCTGCGGCATGTGGGACCCTCGCCGACCATCCGGGATCGAACCTGCGCTGCAGAGGCTGTGGACAGCTTCACAGCGCGGCGCTCAACCACCTGTGCCACGAGGGGAGGCCTTGTCTGGTCTTTATTGTTCAAAGTTGGTATAGAGGTGAAAAGCAATAGTTATGGACCAAACTCGTGCGCTGTCACAGACCAGCTGTGTGACCACAGCAAGTCACTTGCCCTCACTGGGCCTCTTTGCTCCCCTGCAAAATGGAGTCACCACAGGGACCCCAAGTGCCAGGAGCACATTCCACAGAGGGTGGTGACTCATGCATTGGTGAGCGCGCTCGTTGGAAATCGAAACTCTTGGGGCTTCTGCTTCATCCATTTGCTCTTGGGAACTGGGGACAGCACTGGCCCCCTTAAAGGTGACGGGAAGTTTTAAGGGCGTTAGGGCTTCGGGTCAGGATGCGGCCGAAATAACAGTGGCTGGGCGCAGGCCCGGCAGAGCCATTCCAAGGGGCGGGCCGGCGCGACCACGACTGACACCGGGATCCCGGCGGTCCCGCCTCCTTCCCTTGTCCCTGGAGCCAGGGCGGTTTTGGTAGCAGCCTCGCGCCCGAACCCCGCGGCAGGAGTGGGTTCCGGAGAGGGGCGGCGGGACTGGCAGGCTTGTAAGTGGGGGGGGTGGGGCGCGGGGCTCTGCAAAGGTAAGAAGCAAGGGGCTGGGCAGGCGCAGGAGGAGGAGCGGCTCCCTAGCCAGGAGGGCAGCAGGCGAGGGTGTGTGGGGCGCAGGGAGGCCAGGCCCGGCGCGGGGAGCCCGGCTGCGGGTGGGCGAGGCGCAGCGGGCGCGGGGCTGGAGGGGCGCTGGGCGTGAGGGCTGCGTGGGCGGCCGCCGGGCGGGGTGGCGAGGCCGGGCTGGGGTGCTTGGAGGCGCGGGGAAGAAGGCTGGGGCCGTGGCCTCGCGCGGCTGGGGTTGCCGGCCGCTGAACTGACACTGTCCTTCGCTGCAGTGGCCGCCCGGCCTAGCGGGGGGACCATGGGCGCCTCGGCCTCCAGGGACCAGCCCGCCGGGGTCCCCGCGCCGGATCCCGAATCCGAGGAGGTGCTGGACCTGAACCAACTGCCGCCCGAGCTGCTCCTGGCGGTGCTGAGTCACGTGCCCCCGCGCGCGCTGCTCGGGCGCTGCCGCCGGGTGTGCCGGGGCTGGCGCGCCCTGGTGGACGGCCAAGCCCTGTGGCTGCGCATCCTCGCCCGGGACCACCGCGCCCTGCTGCCGCTGGCCCGCAGCTGCCTGCCCGCCGTGCGCGACGCCAGGCCCTGCCTGCTGGGCCGCTTCTGCGAGCGCGCGCCGATCGGGCGCAACCTCATCCGCAACCCCTGCGGCCAGGGTGCGCGCCCGGCGGGGCGGGGTGCGCGGGAGGCGGGGCCCGCGCGGGACCCCCCTTGAGCCCGTGGCTCGGGCGCACTGGCCAGCTGGCGAGGATTGGGGTGCAAGTCTGTGTCGCTTTACAGAAGGTCTCCAGAAATGGATGGTGCAGCACGGCGGGGACGGCTGGGCGGTGGAGCGAAACATGTCAACCGTGCCCGGGGCGCCCTCGCAGACCTGCTTCGTGTCTTCCTTCAGGTGAATGTCCCTCACCCTCCGCGGGCCGGGCCCGGGTGAGGAGGCCCGCCCTGTACTCACTCTTGTCCCTCCTTGCTAGCTGGTGTCGCAAGAAGCAGGTCTTGGACCTGGAGGAGGAGGGTTTGTGGCCAGAACTACTGGACAGTGGCAAGATTGAGATTTGTGTCTCTGACTGGTGAGTGTGCGGGTCAAAACAACGCTTTGCCAAGCGCCCACCCCATGCGCCGTGACCTTGGCGTTAGACCTCATGACAACTCCTTACAGATAGGCTGAAGTCCACGAGGTGAATGACTTAACCATGATCACAGCGTGGGTCATTAGCAGAGTCCACACCCTGCAACCCTCTTCTCACACACCCCCCACCCCAATCTGGAAGATGCCAGATTGAATTGAATAAGAGGCCTTGGGTCCAGTTCAGTCTTCTCTTTTTTTTTTTTTGGTGGGACCCTCGCTGGTAGCCGGGGATCGAACCGGCGCTGCAGAGGCTGTGGGCAGCCTCGCAGCCCAGCACTCAACCGCTGCGCCACCAGGGGAGGCCCAGTTCAGTCTTGTCTCAAGATGCTTCTTGCTTTATGGAAAAGGCAGTATGGGGTCAGATTCTGAAGCCAGACCTCCCAGGGGTCAAATCCTGACTGAAGGGTTGTGATCTTGAACAAGTCAGAGCTGGTCTCACCCAAGATCAGGTTGCTTGCCAAGCTCATACCCAGCGCTTTATGACCGTGAGCTGCCTCAGTGCACTTTCTGAACCTTGAACCTGTGGGAAAGTGTATTTCAAAACCTCAAGACTTTCCAAGCGTCACAAGAAATTAAGAAGTTCAGAAAGGGCGGGTAGGTTTTACTGACGGGGTTCACACATCTAGGGCTTGACAAGGACCTGACATTAGGCTCAGACCCTTATGCCTCCAGCACTTGAACTCTGTAGTGCTTGTCTCAAAACTGGGCTAATTACAGATATTCCACAGGATACACAACTCAGATAGTTCTAAGGAAGGCATTTTCTAGATTCTCTGGAGTTATAGGTTGCTGTTCTAAAATTAACCTTTCCTTGTTTCTCCTCAGAGTCTTTAGTTTTACCAAAAGAAAAAGAAAAGCCCCTCTCTGTGGTGTGTGGTCCCCAGAGGTAGCCTACTGGACACACAGCAAAGTGACCATCTGAAATTTGGCCTTTCCAAATGCACTTTGTCAAGGTCCCCTGACTTCCTCCCCTTCCCTGTCCATCTCATTGAGAGATAAATTTGCAGTAAAATGTTTTTCGTCACTTATCAAGCTATTGTGACGTTTGTGTTGTTTGGAGCAATGGTCTACCATTTGATTGCAGTAATCAGTGGTTGCCAATGTTTGCTGCACATCACCCGGATGTATTTAAAGCTCTCGCTGTCCAGATTACACACCATCTCAATTAAACCAGGGCCTCTGGTGGAGTCAGCCTTTTAGATTTTTGAGAAGTTGAGAGCTGACTGCAATTAGAGGACACACTCCCCAAGACTGCCTTCACTTCTGAGACCATGTGCAAGTTTCGGGAGTCCCTCAAACTACCCTCAGTTTCAGGAATTCACTAGAAGGACCACAGAACTCACCGTAGACTGTTATAAGACCCTAGTTTATTCCAGGGGAAGAAGCGCATAGGGCAGTGTCTAAGGGATGCATCGAACATGGATCCTCCACCCCTGTCCTTTCTCCATTGAATCTGGACGAATTACTGCCCTGGCATCTGTGTGTGACAGAGACATGGCATATTGCCAACCAGGGAAAGCAACCTGAACTTCAGTGTTCAGAGTTCCTATTGGGTTAATGTCAACATACGGGTCAACTGCATCCTACATCACATGATTGGTCTTTCTGGAGCAGGTAGCTTCTACGGCGAGTACATTTCAGTGTGGCCAGCCCCCCTCAAATCACATTGGCAGAGTGTGCAGTGTGACCCCAGGTCCCCAGGCAAACAAAGATAGATGTTCCTGGCAAGCACAGCATCCCAAGTGCCCAAAAATTATTTCCCAGAAGCTGAGGGCAAGGATTGTACCATTGGGCTAGGCTCAGTCCTTTTCTACACAATATTTTTAAAACATTCTAAGATGATTCCAATCTATAGCAAAGCCGGAACCATTAAGTGGGTAATAATTCAATCCTAAAGAAGAAATGTTCACACTTAGAGCTTTATGGTCACAGGAAAAATCTTAAATTTCTTTTTATATCCTTTGTGTGTGTGTGTGTGGTTGGCGCAGAGCAGTATGAAAGGGTAATCAATAAGTCTTCAGTACATAAAAATATATTAATATTACATTAGGACAATTCTGTGGGAGAAGCAGAATGGACATCTAAATCTAAGAGGCAGAATGATGTGAAGGCTTGGTAAAGGAAGACAATTGTGCCTTTATAGTCCATCACTTTTTAAAAAAAATTTTATTTTTTATTTTATTTTATTTAATTTTATTTTTTAAAGATTTATTTTTTTATTTCTTATTTATTTTTTATACAAGCACTGGGTACAGTCAGAAGCGCGGGAGGGTGAGAGAATTCACCAGAGCCAGAGCGGGGAGCAGAGCAGGCAGAAGGACCGAAGTACACTGCTGAGGGGAGCAGCGGGCGGCAGGAGAGGTCTGCGCGCCATGTGGGACCCTCCTCCGGTGGCCGGGGAGCAGCCGGGGATCGAACCGGTGCCGCAGAGGCTGCGGGCAGCTTTGCAACCCAGTGCTCAACTGCTGCGCCACCGGGGAGGCCCTAAAAATTTTTTTTAAATGTATTTTTGTGTAGAACTGGGGTGTAGGCCAGAGGTGCGGGGGTGAGAAGATTCACCAGGGACAGAGTGGGGAACAGAATAGGCGGATTTACTGAAATACACTGCTGAGGGGAGCAGCAGGCATGACAAGAGAGGTCTATAGAGCCCATAACTCTTAAGTTTTTAAGATTTTAACTTACAACATCAATAGCATACCTATCTTAGATGTGGCACTCAATGAATTATCATAATAAAGTGAACACATTTGTATTACTAGCACCCTAGTCATGAACAGAACAGAATGTTCTAGCAACCCTACCACCCAGTATCTCTCATGCCCTTTTTTCCATCACTTCCCACCTCAGGGTAGCCTGAATTCAGAATCCTGAATTCTGTTTCTATAGGTAAGTTCGGCCCATTTTTCTACTCTCTCTCTCTCTCTCTCTCTCTCTCTCTATATATATATATATATATATATATGCAGTTATACAGTATACATTTTATATCTGACTTCTTTCAATAACATGTTAGTAGATTCATCCATATGTAGCAATAATATGCAGCTCAATTAGGTTAATTTCATTGCTGGACAGTATTCTATTCTGGGAATTTGCCATAATTTATCTAAGAATGATGAAAACTGGATGTTATTTTTTCAAATGCTGGGTATGCCATCTGATACTATAGGTTCCCCGATCCTCTTACGTGGCTGATATGAAAATTTTACTATTATTTTTTTATTGAAGTGACACTGCATTGTAAGTTTCATGTGTACATCATTGAAAAGCAGTTTGTGTCAATACAACATTAACTTCACCTCTAAAGGTCCAATCTATCCTTCACCATGTCCCCTCTGCCCCAGTGACCCCTTCTTAGTAACCACTAATTGGTCTTGTAATCTAAAATTTTGTCTTATTTAGTTCATCTGTTTGTTTTCTCTGGATACCAAAAATAAGTGAAATCGAAAACTGTATTTTAAAATGTCAACATTCTATATATTGGACCTTATATCTTTTGCAACCTTTTAAACATTGAATGAGAAATTTTAATTGTCACTTCAATAATAAGGGAGGAGGTGCTCTGAAGGCCACTGCTCAAGGTCAGTGCTTCTAAATGAAGGTGATTCCGACCTGCTGGGGAGCTTGTCGGATGTGGATTCTGATTCATAGGCTCTGCGGTGGGGACGAGCTCCTAGGTGACACCAGGAGCTAGTCCAAGGACCACACTTGGGATTCACATACAGAGGGAAGCCCTTTGGGTGGGGCAGGCAGGCACCAAAGAGCTGGGGTGACAGGTGCAGTCTTCATAGGCCTCCCTCCTCCCGTAGGTGGGGAGCCCGTCACGACAGTGGCTGCATGTACCGACTCCTTGTCCAACTTCTAGATGCCAACCAGACCGTCCTGGACAAATTCTCGGCTATGCCTGATCCCATCCAGCAGTGGAACAACCATGTTTACCTTCAGGTGAGTCTCTGACAGGGGCATGGGAAAGGATGGCAGGGGCCTGTGATGGTTACCTGAATTGCTAATCACCCCAGAACTTAAGCAACTTAATGGCTTCACATCAACAATGGTCTTTTTATACTCTGTCTATGTGGTTTTGCTGAAAAGGGCCCAGTTGCAGTCTCTCAAGTAGTTGTGTTCAGAGAGAGGATGAAGCTAAAGAGCAGAGTGGTGGTGGTGGTAGGGTGTATGAGTGTGTCCGCGCGCGTATGCGTGCGCGCGCATGTGCCCACGCACGGGTGTCTGCACAGCTGTTGGGTTGCTGAATCTCTCTTCATCTCGTGTCGGAGCTATGACATGGCTGCCTAGGCCAGGTTGAGCTTCCTCACAACATGGCGGCCTCGGGGTAGCTAGACTGCTTATGTGTTGGAGCCACTGTGAGGATTCTAGAGGAACTTTTTTCAGTAGCCTTGGAAATCATTTGGCAAAAGTCACTCCACATCCCTTCTACCACACCCTTGGATACAAGCACATCCTCCCAGGTTCAAGGAAACAGGATTTAACCTAATGGGGAGTGGCATGATTCTAGAAGAAAACATGGATCAGGAGATGGTACAGCATTCATGAAAACCCCCATCTGCCAGCCTCAGTGTTTGAGGGGAAGATCATGGGACAAGGCAGCTGACCCCTTACTCTGCTTATAGGTCTCCTATGTGTTCTCCAATATCAAGACGGGCGTCCGCTTCGTGTCTTTTGAACACTGGGGCCAGGACACGCAGTTCTGGGCTGGCCACTATGGAGCTCGTGTGACCAACTCCAGTGTGATCGTGCGGGTCCGTCCGTCCTTGTGTGCGGACAACTCGACGTGCCTTCCAGGAGCTGAGACCATTGGCAAGGTGCCTCACTAACCAAAGGCTCCCTGGCATCCTGGGAAGTCCTAGGTTCAATCCAAGGTCCTGCTGGGCCCTGTCTCCAGCTTCCAGAAACTTCTGGAAGAAAATTCTTCTATCAGATCTACCTACTGCTGCTGCTCCAGGGACGCCCCCTTCTACTGAGTGGAGACCCACAGGTGAACACAGGGGGATGCTGGTTCCACAGAAGATGCCTAGCCCTCCCCTCAGAGGCCCTGTGATTCAGCCTCAGCCATGTCCTCTCTCTGCTTCAGCGGCTGTGTCGGTCGCTTCAGGGAAGCTATCTTTCTATCTCAGCTAGACTCTCGCTTGAGGTTGATGGAGTCTCAGCCACCTTAGGTGGTGAACTTAACCTCAAGAGCTGGGATGAGCTCTGACAGCCGTACATCTGCTAACTCAGAAAATGTTTGCAGTTAGACAGTTCTACCCACTCTGACTTCTATGAAAAAATGAGGTCATCCCCCGATCCTCAAGGACCCCCATAAGTGTGTGGTATGTAAAATTATATTTTATATTTTGAATTTTTTTTCCAGACCTTGAGAGAATAATATATCAGCTGCATGTATCTGCCAGTCACATGTAATAAATGTATTATTTTGCACAAAATGCCTCTGATTTTTTTTTAAGATTTATTTTGATTTATTTATACATACAAGAGCTGGGGTGTAGGCCAGAGGTGCAGGGGGTGAGAGGATTCACCAGAGACAGAGTGGGGAACAGAACAGGCAGACTGACTGAAATCCACTGCTGAGGGGAGCAGCGGGCGAGACTGCGGGAGAGGTCTGCTGCGCCATGTGGGTAGCTCCCTGGCTGGGGATTGAACTTGTGATGCAGTGGCTGCGGCTGATGCTTAAGCCTGCACCATCCCGAGGCAACTACCTCTCATCTTTTCAATAGAAATGCGATGTCACTGTTTTAGTCACAGCTGGATTCGGAGTAACAGACAGTCCCAGTTGAAGAAGACACCAGTCCAAGGGGCTTTGCCATAGAAGGAATGGAAGAAGTAGAGTATTTTCCCAAGTCCTGAGGAAATCAATTCAGACAGAAATCAATCAGGGCGTAGAGCCTCAGGCAGGCAGTGGTGTACTATTCTAGCGACAGCCTGCTTGCCTTTCTAGCCATGAGCATGAGACAGGACCGCCTGGCAGGCCCAGGGCATGTGCCTGGGCTCGCTGCCAGTGGTTGGATGAGAAGCTCTAGGTGTCCCAACACAAGGCGGGCAAAGTGTGCCTGTGTCTTCTCTGTGCCTGCCTCGCGCCCGGCCAGCCCTCATCCCCACCCGTGTGTGCACGCAGAGATGTACGCTTCGCCAGCATTGTAAACAAGGGGCTGTGACCTGGAAACAGACCGGAAGATTACTGCCCACCAGCTGGAGTGTGTGGCCTTGGGGTAAATACCGCTTTGGACAGTTCAGCTCTAGGGGACATTTTGGGTCAACTGGGGGAATCTGATGTAAGGACTATGAGAGATACATTGACAAGAACTTGGGGGAAAATCAATTGAAAGAAAACAAAACTCTGCAGCACAAGTTCAATCCCTGGCCAGGGAGATACCCACATGGCACAGCAGAATGGAAATAGGGAGACAATTGCCTGAAAAAACACTATGATTTAATTTTGGTATAAACACACATACACATGCCTGTGGTACTGTGTGTATATATCAGGTTGAGAAAAAAAAAATGCCCCACGCTCTCTGCATTTCTCCTGAACTCTCAAACCACTGCCACACTCACAAAACTTGTGACACCAGGGCCTCGCTGGTGGCGCAGGGGTTAAAGACAGCGCTATCAAACTATCACCAGCCACTGCTGCATGAGTTCGATCCCCAGCCAGGGAGCTACTCATATGGCACAGCAGAGCTCTCCTGTCTCACCCGCTGCCTCCCTCAGCAGTGTATTTCAGTAGATTCACCTGTTCTGCTCCCCATTCTGTCTCTGGTGAATCCTCTCACCCCCCGCACCTCTGGCCTGTACCCCAGTTCTTGTATACATAAATAAATACATCTTAAAAAAAAAAAAAAAAACTTGTGACACCAGATGTGTGGCGTTTTGCCCACCAAGCAGTGCTCTGGTACTAGCTGGATGTTCCACAATTCAACTCAGCTCTGACACTATCTGCCCAGGGACAGCACCAGATCCCAGGTCAAAGGATCAGGCCCGTGAGACTGGGGCTCCCTCACTTGAGGTGCCCGTCATCAGTCTTACCCACAACTATCTTGACTATGAATAAGAGGTTCCCACCATCTCTAGATTTGATTATTTGCCAGAGGAGAAATTAGTTACACGTACTAGTTAGAAGCTATGATAGAGGATACAGATGAGCAGTCAGCTGAAGACAGACACTAGGGGTGTCTGTGGAGTTGGGGTGCATCACTCTCCTGGGACTGATGTATTCACCAATGTATTAAAACTGAGGTCAAAGGGCTAACTTGTTCCCGGATCTTAGAACACAAAAGGAAAAAAATCTTTTCTGTGAGGCTTGATTTCCTAAATAGAGCCTAGACACTTACCAGCAAATGACCCAGCCTGAACAGGCAGAGACATAACTTTGAACTGCCCCCCAAGATGGTCAATGCAGAGAGGGGAGCTACTCTGAGGCAAGGGCCCACCAACTAGAATTTAAAACTCCAGTTACTGGGGTCTCCCTTGCGGCGCAAGGGGTTAAGCACAGCACTGCGAAGCTGTCCGCAGCCTCTGCAGCACAAGTTCAATCCCTGGCCAGGGAAGATACCCACATGGCGCAGCAGACCTCTCCTGTCTCACCTGCTGCTCCCCTCAGCAATGTATTTCGGTCAGTCTGCCTGTTCTGCTCCCCATTCTGTCTCTGGTAAGTCCTCTCACCCCTGCACACACCTCTCGTCTGTACCTCAGTTCTTGTATGTATAAATAACTCTTTAAAAAGAAAAAGAATTTGAACTGCAGGTTTTAGGGTTTCTGCAGTGATCTCTGGGTAGTGGTACAGATGGAGGCCAAGAGTAGAAGATTGAGGATGGAGGCATCACAAGACCAGAAACTGGAGGTGGGGTAAAAATGATGAACATAGTTGTTAAACCAGCTCTAGAAATGAAAAATCCTCAGGTACCAGCTGCTATAGCGAGTATCAGACTGTTATAGACAGTATCTGGAGGTACAGACCAGAAGAGGCAATGCGGAGATGGGGGGGCACTTACTGAGAATCCCTGGTCCTCACAAATCAACCTAGTGACACCCGAGAAGTAACTGAACAATAGACACATCCACAAGGAGCAAATCCCTCCCAAAAAGAAGACAGCATCAGCCCTCCCGTGGCCTCTTTGTCTTTCCCCTTTTCCTAATGGATCTGTCCTTTTCAAATGTAACCTCCACCTGCCTTTGTCTGTGCAAACATCTTTGTCTCCTGGGTAAATTGTATGAGTGCAACCGAAAGGGGAACTCTGCCGAAACTTTTGTCAGATGTGACCCAAGAACCCCACGCTTGAACCCCATATTGCATCAAGACAACATCAGCATGACTTTGCTTATCTGTATTTTTGCTTCCTGGTTTGCTTATCTGCATTTCTAATGGGGGTGTGTGTGTGTGTGTAAACACGTTGCAGACAAATATAAAGCAACCTCCAATGCAGTTTCTCTCCCCTTCCAAAAATAACCACATTTGGAAGGCATCTTTGCTGACATGGTTTTTGTTTGCTTTGTCGTAGGTAGGAAGTTCCAAATACAAACAAAAGCAGAGGACAGAATGTTATAGCCCCCCCCCCCCCCCCACACACACACACACACACACACGCACCAGCTAGCTTCCGCAGTTATCAACTCACCACCAGTCTGTTAGGGGGAAACGGATGTCCTAAAGCTAATCCCATACAGGCTTTGTGGACTCCACCCCCACCCCAGACCAAAGCCATCAGGACTTTGGGAAAGACAAATCCTGTCACCACCAAAGGGAAGGTTGCTGGGACCTGAGGGTGGGGTTAAGCAGCCAGGTTGGGTATAAAACCAGACACGTGGGCTTTGGGGGGCTCCCTTTTGGCTCTCTGCCAGCTCGCTGCTCTCTGCCAGCTCTCAGAGTACCACTGGGTTTCCAGGTCAGCGGATCAGGTAGGACGCATTAAAGACTTTATTTCCCTATTTTCTCCCTGAGTTGTACATTTCCTCATTTCCCCTTCCCTTGTAAATAAACCTTTTATTAACCTTTTGTGTGTGCCTGCAGTGGAGTATTAATAAGTCCCTTTTGGGCCTCCCCGGTGGCGCAGCGGTTGAGCGCTGGGTTGCGAAGCTGCCCGCGGCCTCTGCAGCGCCGGTTCGATCCCCAGCTGCTCCCTGGCCACCGGGGAGGAGGGTCCCACATGGCGCGCAGACCTCTCCTGCCGCCCGCTGCTCCCCTCAGCAGTGTACTTCTGTCCTTCTGCCTGCTCTGCTCCCCGCTCTGGCTCTGGTGAATTCTCTCACCCTCCCGCGCTTCTGACTGTACCCAGTGCTTGTATAAATAAATTAAATAAATAAATAAAAATAAATCTTAAAAAAAAAAAATTAAAAATAAGTCCCTTTTAAGCGCGCGGGTGAGGACCCACAGCCAGGCAACCTGTGTTATATCGGGGATGCTCTGTAACAAGGCCTCTGTTTCTTCTCTTTTTAAAATGTTTTTGGGGGCTCCCTGGTGGCGCAAGGGTTAAGACGCAACCTATGAAGCTATCTGCAGCCACTGCAACATGAGTTCGATACCCGGCCAGGGAGCTATCCACATGGCGCAGCAGACCTCTCCTGACTCACCCGCTGCTCCCTTTGTTACAGGGCAGCCCCGATACAAAACGGGGTGCCTGACTGTGGGTCCTCACCCGCGCGCTTAAAAAGGACTTATCAATGCTCTACTGCAGGCACACGCGAAAGGTTAATAAAAGGTTTATTTACAAGGGAAGGGGAAATGAGGAAATGTACAGCTCAGGGAGAAAAGTGGGAGACAAAGTTTTAAATGAGTCCTACCCGATCCGCCGATCAGGAATCCCAAATGGCGCTCTGAGAGCTGGCCGCCAGCCAGGAGCCCTGAAGCCAGGAGCGGTAGCGTGAGCGAGCCCCCAAGGCCCACGTGTCTGGTTTTTATACCAACCCTGGCTGCCTAACTCCACCCTCAGGTCCCAGCCATCTTCCCTTTGGTGGTGACGGGATTTGTCTTTCCCAATGTCCTGATGGCTTTGGTCTGGAGTGGGGGTGGCGTCCACAAAGCCTGTATGGGATTAGCGCAGGACATCACTTCCCCCTAACAACCTTCAGGGGTGTATTTCAGTCAGTCTGCCTGTTCTGTTCCCCATTCTGTTTCTGAATCCTCTCACCCCCAACACCTCTGGCCTGTACCCCAGTTCTTGTATGCATAAAAAGATAAAAAATAATAAAATGTGTTTTTACTTGGAAGCAATCTCAAACTTTCAGAAAATCATAGTATTTTACTGTAACAAGGCAATCCCCAGAGTATCCCTCATTCTGCCTGATAACAGTACAAAGAGCTTTCTTCCCCTGAAACATTAGGAGTATGTACTCCAGCTTGAAGCTTCACCAACATCGCTGCAAAATTTGTATTTTCTACAAATAAGGACATTCTCCACTTAATGGCAGCACCCCCGCATT